AATAGCAGGAAAAAGCTCAGAAAATGCACAAGAGCATGGAAACTAAATTTAATGCCCAGAACAACCAATGAGTCAATAAAGGAAATAAAAAAATATTTTGAAAAATATCTTGAGATAAATGAAAATGTAAATACACATATCAAAATGTATGAGATGCAACCAGAACATTTCTAAGAGATTATAGCAACAAATGGCAACACCAAAAAACAAGAAAGAGCTCAGGTAAATAATTTGATCTTATGCCTCAAAGAAAGAGAAAAAGAACAAACCAAGCCCAGTGCAGCAGAAGGAAAAAACTAACCAAGACCAAGAAGTAAGCGAAACAGATGAGAGAAACAATTTTAAAAGATCAATGAAATGAAGAGTTGATTTTTTTAAAAAAGATAAACAAAATAGACATCCCTTAGCTAGACTGAGAAAAAATGAGAGGCTCAAAGTTTTAAAAAATCAGAAATGGAAGAAGAGACATGTTAAGAAATAAAATCAGAAATGAAAGAAGATATATTACAACTGATATTGCAGAAATACAATTATATGCCCAAAAAACTGGATGACCTGGAAGAAATGGATACATTCCTTGACACCTGCAACGTACCATAACTGAGTCATTAAGAAAGAGAAAAAACAAGGGGACCAAGAGTAAATTAGTAACAAATTGAATTAATAACAAAAGTCTCTCCTCAACAAAATCTCCAGGGCCTGATGATGTCTTTGCCAAATCCTACTTGAAAAGAAATTTTGCTGTATTTTCCCTTTGTACTTGACTTTGAATCAACATAGAAAGTTTATGGCAAAGATTTAGAGATTAATTTGAGACAAGATGCCTTAGGCAAATTTTTCAGCGTTGCTTCTTTTTTATTAGTATATATTTACTATGCATACTATTACATTTATCCTGGGGAACTGGTGCATTTACATCATACATCTTCACCCTTTTTACTACCTCTTTCCCTCCCCATCTTTCCATCTACCCCCCTCCCTGAACCCCTTCTCCTCTTCACAGAGTCCACCTCTGTTTCCTATCATCTTTTACTATTTTTCCTTTAAACTATTTATACTTTGGGTTTCTCATGTAAGAGAAACTACTAATACTTAACCTTCTTTGTCTGATTTACTTCACTTAGCATCGTGGTCTCAAGGTGGATCAATTTTCCTACAAAAACATTTTTAAAATTAGTACTGATCCTTCACAAACCCTTCCAAGAATTTGAGGAGTGGGGAATACTTTCAAACTCTTCATACAAAGCCAGAATTAGCCAATACCAAGGCCAGACAAAGACATAACAAGAAAACTACAAAGCAGTATCCTTGTTGAACATAGCTGCTAAAATACTCAACAAAATACCAGCAAGCTAAGTTCAACAGCACACTGGAAGGATCATTCACCATGATCCAGTGAAGTTTATCCCCAGTGGTGCAAGGATGGTTCAATCTATGCAAATCAATAAATGGGATACATCATACTAACCGAACAAAGAACAAAAACTATATGACCATTTTACTAGATGCAGAAAAAAACAATTAATAAAACTCAGTTTCCCACCATCAATTAAAAAGAAAAAACACTCAACAAATTAGGTATGGAAGGAGTGGTCCTAAACACAGTAAAGACTATATATGATAAGCCACATCTAACTTCCACAGAAAGTTAAATCCCTTTCCTGTAAGATCTATAATAAGAAAGAATGCCCACTCTCGCTACTTCTATTCAACTTAGTATTGGACAGCCTTGCCGGAACAACCAGACAAGAGAAAGAAATAAACACCCAGGCAGGAAAAGAAGAGGTGAAGTTGCCACCATGTGCTGATAATAGGATCTTACATATAGAAAATCCTAAAGATTACACACACAAAACCTGTTAAAACTAATAAATGAATGTAGGAAAGTTACAGGATAAAAAATCAACACAAAAAAATCAGTAGCATTTCTATACATTGATGAATCCCCCACCCCCCAAAAAAAGAAGTCAGCAGAATAACCCCATTTACAATACCTACCAAAGATAATAAGATAAAATACTTAAGACTAATTTAATCAAGGAGATGAAAACTGTAAAACATTAGTGAGAAAATCTGTAAAACATTAGTGAGAAAATCTGAAGTGGTACACAGCCATAATCCCAGTTACTAGGGAGGCACATACCTGTAATCCCAACACTGAGGAGGCTGAACCAGGAGGGTTGCTGTGAGTTTCAGGCCAGTCTAAACTACCTAGCAATATATATACAAGATGGCTGGGATAACTGCACTATTAATTTCTATTGCTTTCTTGAAAGGAACAGTTGATATTTAGTTGTTTGATCATTCTTGCATGTCTGTATTTGTTTATCTGAGTAACTAAAATGAAGATAACAGTATGTAATACAACAACCATTGTTAATTTCTTTTCACCGTGTCTGAAATACTGTATTGTTTTTATGTTGTGTCCTTTATGCCTGTGTGTTTGTTAATATGTTTTGGTTCTTTTATCTCTAAAAATAAATTTTTTTTAAAGTCAAAAAAGTTAACCATCTAGTAAGATCCTGTCTCAAAAAACAGAGAGAAAGAAAGTAAAAAAAGAAGGAAGAAAGGAAGGAAGGAAGGAAGGAAGGAAGGAAGGAAGGAAGATAGAAAAAGAAAGAAAGAAACCATAAGAAGATCCAATAAATGGGAAGACATCCCATGTTCATGGACTGGAGAATTATAGTGTTGAAATATCCATACTACCAAAACAATCTACATGTTCAATGCCTTCTCTATCAAAATTCCAGTGCCAGCTAGGAACAGTGGTACACAGCCATAATCCCAGTTACGGGGAGGCTGACAAGGCAGGAGTATCACAAAATAATATCCAAAATACTTGAGCAGTCATGTCAACACCAAAAAGCTGAGATTTTGGAGCACTTGAGAATTTGGGTCTTTGAATCACCGATGCTCAACCTGTGGTTGGTAATGCTGGCAGTCAGCATCTGTTCTGCTAGTCTCCTGTGCCCTGTTCCACTGAATTCTGGGTGAGCGAAGAAACAGGACTCAGCAGTCCTCACATCCCTGGTCACCCAGATACACTCAGCCTATACCCACTCTATTTGCCACCCCACTAAGCCACGCTGTTATTGTTGTTTATTTCTGCATTTTTAGCACCTACCACAATGTCCGGCAGAAAAAGGCACTCGGTAAATGCTAGCTGAATGACATTTTACGTATCCACTGAAATGATCATTTTACAGACTATGAAGCCAATGGTGGAAAAATGTCAAGCTCTGATTACAAATATGTAAAAATCACATATGGATATAAAACAGAAGAGAATGAGGTATAATAAAAGTTGTTAGATAAAGTGGAGGACAATCTTTTCTTCTGATTTTTGTTATTACTATAAAATTATTATGCATGTAACTTTGGAAGTGAAATAAGAAATCACTATATAATGTTTAGCTACCGAAGAAAGTAACTTGACAATTTAGGCGGGACCATAAGGCTGTTTCCTGAGATGTGGAAAGGTTGATTCCCAGGCCCAAACTTTGCTTCTCACTCTAGAATTCTCTCTGGATATGCAGAGTGCTGTCAAAGAGGCAGAAGCTCCCAGGAATGGTCCACACTTCAGCTTTGTGCTGTTTCCTTCCCCTTCTCTCTGGCCTCTCTTTTTGGGCAGACACCAAGTTATACTGGGCAATCTGCCACGGGCTTCTACCCTGCTTGCCCTGGGAAAAGGTTCTCGGTCTTACCAGGAATTAAAAACAGATGAGTGTAATCCTCGCTCAGAGTTTGGCCTATAGAGACCTGCTTCCAACTGAAAGGAACCAGCGACGCCTGGAGAAAAGGGTGATTCCAGGTCTCAGGGAAAAGATGTGCAAGATGAACCTGGAGCGTCTCTGTCATTCTGGAAATCAAGAACGTGACCCAAGACTGTTAAGGTCACATCGATAGACCCGGGAGCCACCGTGAAAAGGCCCCACTGCCGAGAGACAACAACTGTCAGGAAGAACGAAACTGTAAGGAACTGAAACACATCAAATATGTTTACAGCCATACATTCACAACCGTTATTCACAAGGAAAGTCAGGGAAAACCACCCATTGCCCACGCGTGGAGAATGCCAGGGAACCAACTGATAATTTTGAAGAGCAGTAAACGAGGCGACAGAATCAAGCCTCTCCTGCCTTTCCTACACTAACAGTGGGGAAAGAAAGTCTGCATCGCAGAAGGGTTCCAACCAGGGCCTGAAGAAGACATGACAGACACGGACCATCACTACTTTACAATCTCTCGTGAATTAATGGATCTATGTGCGATCAACCACGGCTGTAAGCGTTACAAAGAGACAGACAGTCAGTCCATACCTGGTGAGCACTAACCGCAGGGAATTCTTGCCCAAAACAAATGGGCAGAAATACAGACATGGGTCTGTGTGTCTATCCATTCAGGGCAGGGACCAGGCATGGAGGCAGGGAAACGTGAACTGTCCCTGTGGGTTGCAGTCACGAAAGCCAGACTGCGAGAAACTTACATGACCACAGTCCAGATTACTTCCAAATTAAAACTGATCAGAACACTCTAGGTTAGAAAGGAATCAGGCCAAGGGACCCATGGTGGTGTTCCGATTTGATGTGGCTCTGATTCAGATAGGTTATAGAAGAGAACATGACACAGGCAGGTATAGGTGAGTCCTGGCTGGATATGTATTAGTAGTATTGATAATGTGGTGCGATGTGGAAATAATATTATCGCCTTGGTTTTAAAAAGAGCTTGCATCTTTCCAAGAGAAGGATAGAAACCGTGGTGTCTGATGTTTGGTTCAAGCCGTGCGGGGTCGATGAAGTGCCGGCAGGATAGGAGGATGGTTGGAGCTGGGGAGAGGGCGCACGAGCAGATTCCTTCTTTTATTCTCTTTACTTTCCTATATGTTTGAAATTTTCAATAATAAAAACCTAAAACACTAATAAAAAATAAATGAAGCTCTTCCTTATCCTCACGACTGACGTCTGGGGAAAAAGATGTCAAAGAAACAATGGGACTCTTACCTTTTCATTAACTGGAGGAAAATTCTCCTTGGTAGCCGGTAGACAAAGGTGTCAAGGACAATCTTGAGATAATTCAAGGAGACGTAGCCACCTCTGGAGGGGTCGCCGGCACTGAGGGCTTTTTCAATCTTATCAACAGACTTTGAAAACTGCAATGAATTAAAATTAGAGTGCTGCATTCATAAAAATCAACTCGATGGGGTTTTTCGATCACTTTATTTATTTATTTTTAACCAAAACCTCTGCACATTTTCCTCTCCCAAAACTGATCAAAAGGTTACCATGGCATGCACTGAACTTCAAATGTTTAATTGATGAGTTCGCTACTAAACAGCATCCTCAGGCTCTGTTTCTCAGTTGACAAGGTAGACAAGCTTCGGGGGAAAAAACAGCACACACAATAGATCCACCTCAAATTTCAGCGCTGCAAATACTCGGTGGATCTGCCAGTTTGATACATCTTTCTTAATATACTTCGAGCCATTCCCTACTGTGAAGCCGCCCCTGATTAAGTCAGGCCAATCAAATACACAAGCTGCTAACATTTTATTTAAAATAGCAATTGATTTCATGGTAAGGAAAGTAATTAATATCAGAAATATAAAGTACATTTTGGACATTTCTTAAATAATCCTTTCTTAAATTTTTTTTTTTTTTTTTTTTGCAAAAAACCTGGGTGATTGAACTTTGTTTTGGAGACTCCTACACTGCAGTGAAGTAGGTTAACCACTGATTTTTATGGGCTCATAAAAATATTGTGAAGATTGGCTTTTTCTCTAAAGGCTTTCCTGCTGTTTATTATTGAGTGATAACAATATTCTCCAATATTTTCCACCATCTCACTTCACCTGAATTCACTTTTTCCTGCTAACTTTGATAAGAAAACAAACAAAATAACCACTTGGCAGGTGCATAAGACTTTCTTAAAAATCTGTTGGAAGATGGACATATACATGTAAGAGTCCCCATCAACTGAAGGGATACAGAGGCGGGTTCAGTAAAATATCCTTAATATGCACAGGAATACTAGAGACTAAAAGGAAAATCCTTAAAAACATTTATAAACTTAAAGTTCTTAGAAAGGTCTATGCTTCTTAGAAAATTGTACAAAATTAACTCCAAATGCAGCTCAGTCTTCTCATTTCCTTTGCGGGGAGGGCGATTGTTTCAGACTCGCTGCTGGAGGGAGGACTCTCACAGGGAGAAGCAAGAGCCGGGTGTGGAACAGGGTCTCTGTGTATTTATGGGATCCAGGAAGCTCATTTCTTATCTCTTAATGACATTTGGTCCCCAGTAAGCTTTTTTTCAGTAGCGTGTTTCTGACATGAGCAATAGCTTTTGGGAAAAGAGCAGGCCATGAAATAGAAAGAAATTCTTGATGAGGTGTGTAACCTTTTAAGAATTGTCTTTGTTATTGTTTACATAGAAAGTCAGAGCATCTGTTTAAGAAAAATGCAAGCAACTCAGCAGAGTATAAGGAGGAAATAAAGATACCTGGAAGTCTCACCGAGCACAGTTTCATACAGTGTTCCGAAAGCTCCCGGCGTGATCATGATAACATAGGTAATTTTCACAAAAATGAAATCAAGCCACACTTTCAGCTTTGACAGATGCTTTCTTCATTTACCAGTGTCTTGGATTTTTCCCATAAGAACTAGCATCTGCATGATTCTCTTAGGTGATCTACGGTGCACCGTGTGCTACTGGAGGACGACCCAAAGGGTCCACCCACTGCCACGTTCATGCATCTGTCCTCATCAGCGTTCCCACCTAGGTGAGACCTCTGTGATTATTCTCTCCCACAACACCCTGTCCTTTTCTGCCGTAACACTCCACAGGTTGTGATCAGGAATGTGTGTTCTGTTCGCATTGCCCCCCTTGATGTGAGGCCATGTGAGCTCTCTAGGTACAGCCATTCGCTGGTTTGGTTTACTGCTCATCAGAAGGAGCACAGTTTGGGCAGGTGGGAAGCACTCACAAGCGTGTTAGAAGTGGATATATTTTCATCAAAGATGTTCTAAACAAGGGTTGCAATTTCTAAGAAGCCATTCACTGCACTGGTAAACAGGGAAATGAAGGATGAAATCATAGCTGAGACGCCATACGTACTGGACCAGCCAGAGTGTGAAAGTCTAACCGTGTCAAGTGTTAGTAAGCATCTGGGACAACAGCAGCTCTCATGTGCTTTTGGTGGGAGTGGAAACTGCTAACAGAAAACAATCTGATGTTGCCAATTAGAGAAGAAAGCCTTGTTCTCTACAGCCTAGTACACGTAACTCCTAGAGGCACCTACATAAGCTCTTAGGGTGGCATTGCTTGGATCAGCGCAAAACGAGAAGCAATCCGAATGTCCACCCACAGGAGGATAAAGCGCTTGTGCGACTAAGACAGTAGAAAACTACAGCTGTGAAAATGACAGTACAGCTATACCCATAATGCAGATGGATCTCCTCCTGAGCTCAAACAGGATGAGAATAAATGGTTTTACAACTATGGAAACTTACAACAGAGGAAGAAGGAAGGAAGGGAGGGAGGGAGGAAGGAACAAATGAAGGAAAGAAGGAAGGAAGGAAAAAGAAGAGAAGGAAGGAGGGAGGAAGGCAACAAACCATCAAGCATGAAACAAAGAATGCATGCTATAAGGAAATATAAAACAAAATCCCCTGCAAAAGTGGTGGCATAAAAATGAACTAAATAAAAATATGAATTCATTAAAATAAAGTCTTGAAAATTACAAAACAGTGAAAGAGATGAGAGGGGATATTTCAGAGCTAGGAAGATAAAAAATAAAAATAACATCATTACAGGAACTAATAAAAGTATAAACAGCAAGAATAAGAGATAAAGATGGAATTTAAATATTAAAGAAATGGCTTGAAAGAATATCGAAGGCAGAAAAATAAGACAAAGGGATTAAAGCAATTTGAGAGCAGATGACAGCTATTAAGGACAGACAAAGAGGAGGCAAAGCAAGGGTAGCTGGGATACCACCTACCCCGAAGGAAGGAGAGGCTGAACGGGGAGGAGAGGAAGGAAAGAGGGGAACCGGGGAGGTGATTTTAGGGTTAGGACTCTGGAAATCTCTCTGCAGTGCAGGAAGATCTGAATCTGTACATCTGGAGAACACGCTGTATTTGAGGCAGCTCCATCAGGATGTGGCTTAGTTTGGCTTTTTTTGTTTTTTTGTTTTTTGTTGGTTTTTTTTTTTTTTTTTTTTTTTTGTTTTTCTCCGGTACCGGGAACTGAACTCACGACCTTGCGCTTGCAGGCAGGCGCTTTTGCCCCTGAGCTAAATCCCCAGCCCCTAAGTTTGGCTTTTTTTAATTTCAAGGAGTAAGACAGAAAAATACCTCAGGCATCCAAGCAGGAAAACTGCCAGGGAAAAAAGACCCCAGGCTCTTTGCAGCCACATCCAGTGCCCAAGGACAGCGGAAGAAACATTTACACTCTGACGAAAAGGGAAGTGGGGTAGAGAAATCTACCCAGTCAAGTTGTTCAGGTGCCAAAGCAAAAGTCACATAGTCGCGTAAGGAAAAAACAAAGGGAATACAGCACCTGCGAGCCTTTCTTAGGGAGATTACCTGACAGTGAAATCTAGCCAACCAAAAAATAAATCAAAATAAAGAACTCTGAGAGAGATAAACTGCAGTAAGCATTGCACTATAGTGATGACCATGAAATTTGTGTAAATATAAAATAAAGGCAAAACAACGGGGTGGGGGGGTATAGCAAAGGATAGATTATAAAGACCATAAACCCGGAGAACAAACCACACACAGTAAAACCTTCGAGGAGAGGCAGGCAGGGGCAGGCAGGAGTGGGCAGCTCTGAGCTCCACGCAGGGCCGACTCTGCTGTCTGGAATGGGGACCTTTGGAACAGCCTCGCTTCACCGGACCTGGGTGGCTTTCTTAATCTCTCCTCACGTCCCTTTGAGGACCTAACATGTCTGATGAGAGAGAAATATTCATCAAAAGTCCAGAAATGTGTTTGCTCTCACCTGAGGACAGGGCTGTGGGGTTAAGAATGAGAAGACTACAGCAACACAGAGTGGGCTTGCTAAACTGGCTCCCAAGCTCCAGGGCAAGTCCTCTAACTGTTTCGTGCCTCAGTTTCCCCACAGAGATGACAACAGTGCTCAAATCCCAGAGCTGCAGAAGACCCACAAGACTCTGCCTGGCGCCTGGGAAAACCCAAGAGGGTTCATTATGATCATGGTGTTTGCTTTTCCAGGAAAGCCAAGCACATTTAAATTAAATGTTTTTTTTTTTAAAGAGCGTGATCTTTTTTCTTATAAAATTATTTCTATCCAAAATCATCATTAAAACCAGCAGCTTGCACAGTTGGTTTAAAGTGAGCCTGGGTGGTGGTTTATTGAAAGGAACAGTTAATGCTTAAATTTTTTTATATTTTAACCAATTTTGCATGCTTATAGCTGGTAATCTAAACAATTGATTTGAAGACAACAATATGCAATATAACAACCATTGGTGAACTCCTACCATCTTGTCTAGTGAAACCCTGTATCATCTCTAATGTTTTTAAAAATTATTATTTTTTTACTCTCTTTAATGGTTTGATCAATCCCTCGTTCTTACATCTGGTAATATGAGCAACTTTGTTGAAGATAACAATATGTAATATAACAACCACTGCTAATTCCTATCATTTTGTTTTGAAACCTTGTATCATTTTTAATGGTCTTGCTTTGTTTGGTTTATGTCTGTGATGTTGGTATTTTGCTATTGCTCTTTTTTTTACTGTTCTCTGTAAAATAAAATTAAAAAAAAAAAAAAAAAGTGTCCCTCTGCTAGATAGTGAGTCTGAGGCCAGGCTGAACTACAGAGCAAGACCCTGCCTCAAAAAAACAAATACACACATACATACATCAGAAAAACAATTCCATGTACAATAGCTTAAAACAAACAAACAAAATACCCTAGGGATCAACTTAACCAAGGAAGTAAAAGACCCACACAGTAAAAATTTTACAACACGGAAGAAATTGAAGAAGACACTAGAAGGTAGAATTGGTATTGTCAAAATGGCCATACTAGCAAAAGTGATCTACAGATTTAACACAATTCCCACCGAAATTCCAAGGACATTCTTCACAGAACTAGAAAAAAAACAATTCTAAAATTCACATGAAAACACAAAAGATCCAGAATAGCCAAAGAAAGTCTAAGTAAAAAGAGCAAGGCTGGACGGGTCTCCATGCCCAATTTCAAATTATATTACAAAGACAGAAACAACAAGCAATGTGATACTCGTGCAAAAATCACCATATAGACCGATGCAACAGAGGACACAGACAAACCCATGGAGCTACAGCCAGCTGATTTTGGACGGAGGAGCCAAAGACGTTTGTTGGAAAAAAGAAAGGCTTTAACCCTGGGTGCTGGGAAACCTGGCCACCTAAGCACAGAAGACTGAAATTAGATCCCTGTCTTTCACTCTGTACCAATATCAATTCAAAGTGGACCCAAGGGCGAGGTCTGAGGCTGCAACTTTGCAACTACAGAAGAAGCTGTACTGGAAACACTTGAAGCCAGAGGCACAGGCAAAGACTTCCTGAGTAGGACTCTCACAACACAGGAAATAACAGCAACCATCAGCAAAATGGGACCACAGCAAATTAAAAGGGATCTTTCTGCGCAGTAAGGGCAACAAAGAGTGGAGTGAGGAGACAGCCTAGGGAATGGGGGAGTGTTTGTCAGCTCTTCTTCTGACAGAGAATTAATGTCTAAACATGCAAAGATCTCAAAATCAAATAGTCCAACGATCAGTGGGCAAATGAATGGAACAGACGCTTTTCTAAAGAACAAATGCAGGTGGCCAGTAAGTACAGGAAGACGTATTCAACAGCCTTAGCCTTTAGGGAACTGCGCCAAGGGAAACTACACTGAGAGCCCACATCTCTCCTGTCAGAACGGCTGTCAGCGAGGGTACGAAAAACAACGAGTGCTGGCGAGGATGTGGGGAGGGAGCCCTCTACACTGCTAGTGGGAATGTAAACGAGCACAGTCACCACGGAAATCAGTGTGGGGGTTCCTCGAACAGCTAAACTATGACCCAGCTGCCCCACTCCTCGGAGTGTGCCTGAGGCAGTTAACGCTGGCACGCTGCAGGGAGACCCGCATGCCCACGATTACTGCGGCACAACTCGCAGCAGACGAGCTATGGAGCCAGCCTCAGTGCCCATCAATGGATGAACAGACAGAGGCTGAGGCGGGAGGACTGCCACGAGTTCAAGGCCAGCCTGGTCTATACAGCGGGTTCAAGGCCAACTTGAGCTACATAGAGAAACCCTGCCTCAAACAGAACAAAACAATCCTAAAAACAGGTGACTGGGTAAAGAAAATGTGCTACATCTACACAGGAGAGCACTGTGCAGCCTTAAAGGAGAATGAACTTGTGTCATTTGCAGGACAGCAGAGAGAACCGGAGATCACCATGTTAAGAGAAATAAGCCAGACTTAGAAAGACAACTGTCACGTTTTCCCTACTACGTGGAATCTAAAAAGATGAAAAGAAGCAGAAGGGAGATTTTTATTGGACAAGAGAAAGGGAATTAGAGGGACAGGGTATAAGGGACAATATTGGGGGACAGAAAAAAAGAGTTCTAATTACATCATTAAGAGATCGTGGAGGTGACACGAATTTATTGAGGTGAAAAGGTACCCGCTACCCCCATTAGGTTGCCAAGCAGTACACATGGCATGCCCAATTTTTTATTTACAAAAATACATTAATGTATAGCAATATCAAGAAAGCAGCTACAGCGATGCTCACATAACTGTTTTAATCTGTCTTCGGGACTGAAATGTCAAGTACATTTTTCTTTTTGTTTAAGAGTATTTCTTGGGGCTGGGGATTTAGCTCAGCAGCATAGCGCCTGCCTGGCAAGCACAAGGTTGTGAGTTCAATTCCCGGTATCAGAAAAAAACCAACGGGGGGGAAAAAAAAAGAGTATTTCTTGACTGGTGCTATTATAAAATGTCTCTAAGCAGAGGAAATTAAGAACTGCTATGTGAGGTGATAGATATGTTAATTCACTTGATTGTAGTAATCATTGCACAATGTACCTGTATCTTCAAATACGATGTTGTACACCTTAAATAGCTATGATTTTATCTTGCCAGTTATACTCAGTGAAAAGTAAGTCAATAAATGATTATTTCCGTCTGTCCACTGTCCTACCTACCGACAGCTGCAGCCCGCCCCTCCCTGAATAAAGGAAGGTCTGGAATTATGCTCATCAAATGCCGTCTGGGACTGTCTGGGGGAGTGGACTCTGAACAATTTAATACTTTCTTCTTTGTGCTTTCCAGAATTGGTTACGAGTGTTGGTGATGGTCAAGCATTTTGTAATGGTCACATTTGTATGGAAACAATGAAGACGCTAATCAACAACAGCTAGAGAAAGCAGATTTTACCAGTCCACCGACAGACACAGAATTGCTCCTCTCTCTAACGTCCTCGCCGTCACTGGCTTTCTTAGCTTATCTCTCACTGGAAATTTTCTATTAATAATCTGGAAAAGCTGGACGTACGTTGGGGACAGGTACCGTTTGTCATTTACATTTCACATATTTTGCAAAGTTGATCATCAGTTTACATGAAGTTTTGCTGCTTCCAATCTTTTTTGCTGTCACATAGTCAAACTTCATGCTCCAAAGACTTCAAAGATTTAAAAATTTTCACCGCGGCTTGGGGTACAGCCCAGTGGCCAAGTGCTTGCCTAGCATAATTCAGCACCATTAAAAAAAAAAATCACTCATATCATTCGTTTTAGATTTAAATAGTTGATGCATATAGAATTTATTTTGGTGAAGAGTAGATGGTTATAAGCTCTCCCCCCAAAAAGTATAGCTAATGAATTATCCCAATAACTACTGAAAAATGCACTTGCCACCCCCACTATACTTTATTAAAATGACCCAGATAATGTTAAATTCACATAAATACAGTGATCCATTATCTAACTATCCTCTTAAATCAGTTTGAATATCCATTGCTGTATTAGTGCCACACTGCTTTAATGATTATACTTTTAAAAATATTTTATATATGGTAGGACAAGTCCACTACTGTAATCTTTCAGAAGGAACATATATAGCCAGGTATAGAGAAAGCAGGCATTAAAACCAAATCTTCCAGTCCAAGAAGTAGGAAAGACTTTTTAATCTATTCAAGTTTTCTTTCATGTGACTCAACTAAGTTGTGTCATATCCTTATATAAGATTTCTATATTTCTTACGAGAGCTGGTACTGTGTGGTGCAGTGGGATGTGTAACAATTTCTCATCGCTGCTTTTACCAGTGCATCACTGTCATTAGGGGAGGAAGGAGGTCTCTCAGTTTGAGGAGATGTAGGTAGGATCAAAACAAATTTTAGAAATTAAACTCTACACCTAAGCATTTGTCACAGTGTCCATCCAGTTGTGCTCACACATTTGATAAAATGCTCTTGGAGAACACTTTACCTCCTGGCAGAAGGTCCTCTCAACGTCATCTAAGGAGTAGTTGCTCCAGCTCTCTTCAGGTGGTTCAGAAATGAGGAACTGTTCTCTCTTGGAAGTTCTGGCTTGTTGACTCTCTGGTGAGACTTCTATTAAAACAAAATAGTTGATTCACATTGTCAGAGGGACACTGAAATACCATTTCCTTTTAAACCACACCTGTTTGTAAAAATTAAGACTTGACTAAACCAAGAAAAGGATGAACTCTCCAATAAATTCTTTGAAATAATTAGATGAGCTGGTATGGTGATACATGCCTGTAATCCCAGCACTCAGGAGGCTGAGGCAGGAGGATTGCTATGAGTTCTAGGCCAGTCTGAGCTACATAGTAAGTTCAAGGTTAGCGTTGAGAGTGAGATCCTTTTATTTTATTTTATTTTATTTTATTTTTCAGTATTAGCAATAGAACTCAGGACCTTGCACCTGCCAGGCAGGTGTTTGTGCCACTGAGCTATATCCCTGGCCTAAGATCCTATCTGAAAGAAAGAAAGAAAGAAAGAGAGAGAGAGAGAGAGAGAGAGAGAGAGAGAGAGAGAGAGAGAGAGAGAGGGAGAGAGAGAGAGAAAGGAAGAGACAAAGGGAGAGACAAAGGAAGAAAGAAAGGAAGAAAGAATTGGACAAACATTTTGGAAAAAAATAAAATTAGTTCTCTATGCATTATCATTCTAGGATAAACCCTAGATAGAATGAAGCATACACTGAATAGAATAATAAAACCATGAAAGTAGTAGAAGAAAATTATGACAACTATTACACATTACACAATCTTCCTGAGGGAAGCACTTTCCAAGGAAAATGTAAGCCTAGAAACCATTTAAGTAATTGGTAGGTCTGACAATATAAATACTATTTAATTTTTGTTTGGCTTAAATTTGCACAAATAACAGTGAAAGAAAAATGAGTGGGGAAAACTACTGTTAATATACATAAGAAATACACATCAAGGTTTGTAGTATACGATTAGCTTCTATGAATCAATAAGGTAGATGTAAATATCGAATGGACTACTTGGGTTAGAAACAGGTAACCTAAAAAAAAAAAAAATTCAATAAATGAAAACTGCTCAAACTTCTTGGTAATTTTTAAAGCCTAATTAAAAGAAGTTAACTTTTTTTCCTACTTGTCAAGTAATCAAAGATTAAAGAGAATGGTAAGAAGCAGCTCTGGCTTGTACATAAAAAAACTTGCACTACTTAAATATTCTTAAATCCTTTTTAATACTTTATACTTAAGGAATAATAGTGCCACTCAACAACTGCATATGGATAAGAACATTTTTGTGCTGTTTACAAGGCAATAAACAGAAACACTCTAAATACTCATCAACAGAGGATGAGTTTTATAAATTAGTGGCCGTCAAGCCTATGAAATAACACATAGATGTCAAACACAAGATTGCCTTGCCTAAATTCATGAATGTGGAAATGTGTTTCCTTGCTATAGAATGCTTCATGATCGATAAAGGGACAGTTAACATAGTTTTCATGTTAACACTGATTTTGTATCTACTCCTGCTTCTCCATCCATCTACACATACCCCAGGAAAGGTCAGGGAAGATAACAACCAGAAAGAACATCTTGGTAGGATTCGGGAGCCAGGATTACAGGAGCTTGTTATTTTGTGGTTTCTGGCTTGTGTCAAACAAACATAGATTACTTTTATAACAAAAGCGAATAAAATAAATCTGAAATATAGCCATCTTCTTTCTCAAAGTCGGCTGCAAAGAATCACAAATGCTTTCCCAGATTTATTTCCTAAAATGTCTGCAAATAAGCTCCAGCCAAATGAAGCATGCTTCATCCTGCGGCAGCTAACAAACTGTCAGTCATTTGGAATTCCATCTCTTATCTCCACAAACAAGAAAAAGAAAAAAGAAAGAGACGGTCTCAACACAAAGCCAGTCCTTCGGGGCCTGGTCTGCAATGCTCCGGCCTGGAGGACCCAGCACATGGAAGCCGAGATCTCAGATAACCCAGGCTACAAGAGGCCTCCTGGAAGGATGAGGAGCCACATCCCCACCCAGGCTCCAGCTGGTGCAGTCCCCTGGCTCTCCGGGCCAGGCTTCCAGATACTTCATCCTGTTCTCCCACCAGGAACACATACACACATGCAACACTGCAAGCCCAGGCTCAGGCATGTGGACAGGTGGGTAGAGTGGGAGGGCAGCACACTGTCTGGGAACTCCTGGTGGCCACGCTGGAGGTGGGAACTGTCACAGCACCTTCAGTGAATCCCGTATCACAGTGTCACCAGGTCTCATGTTCCAGGGCAGCTCAGGAATTCCCACCACCTCAGGTTTTCCCAAGATTTCTTCTGAAGGATTCTTTTTTGGTACTGGGGATAGGGCCCAACCAGGCATTGCTAAGCAAATGCTCTACCATGAGCTCCACCCAGCCCCTCTCTGAAGGGTTCTTGCTGATTCCAGTAATGTGGAGGGGGTTTAGGTGCATCCTGATGGGCTCGTGGCTGGGCCTGATAGGACTTGGTAGACATCAGCTATGGATCTGCTATTTGTGGCTACATGTCCCCCCAAAGCCTCATGCGGTCACAGGGCTTTTTCAGAGGCAGCTGAATCTACAGTATGTGATGCTGGGATTAAGGGTATGTGATTTGTAAATCAGCCCACTGATTGGTTTGGCAGCGGCAGGGTTAAGAGTGAGAGTGCTACACACACCATAGGGCAGGTAGCCTGCATACAATATAAGAGACAGAAAGAGGCTTGTCCCTCCCTTGTTGCTTTGCTACCCTCTGGAGGCCATGAAAAGGTCCCTCTCTTGTTGCTTTTGCTCTCTTCTGCTGCTGTGAACTGTTGCCCCTCTGCCATGTGCCACCCTGCATTGGAGCCGGGCAACTATGGACTGAACCTTCTACAAATTGTGAGCTAAATAAACCATTCCTCCCTTTCACTTTGGGCACTGAGTATTTTGTATCAGCAAGAAGAGAAAAGTAACTAAGACAGGATCAGTTAATAAGAAATTTCCTTAGTGACAGGAGACATGGAAGGACAATATCAATCACAGTGAAAAAACTTAGAAATTAGATGGTAGAAGTCAGGAGCAAATTAGAAAAAATACAGTCACTTCCAGTATGCAGTACAGTATCATTAACCATAGTCACCATGAAATTTGACTATAGTTGACAATATGATTAACTACAATCACCATGAAAGAGAATAACTATTAAGTGTTCTCATCACACTCTGAAAAAGGAGATAGATGTGCTAATTAACTTGACTGCGGTAATCTTTTCACAGTGTATATGTGTATCCAATCATCGTACGTATACCTTAAATATACATAATTTTTATTTGTCAATTATAGCTCATAAAGCTGGAAATAAATCACTTAGAAAGGAAGACTAAACTAAAAGGAATCCGGAAGTAAACAAATACAACAGTAGTAGAAGTGAAATGAAAATAAGCAAAAAGGAAGGAAAGAAAAAGGGAGGAAAAGAGAGAAGGAAGGAGAGGAGAGGAGAAGGAAGAGAAGGAGAAATAAAGAAGAGAGATTTGTGAGAAAGCAACCATTCAGAAGAGAAGACATGAAAAAAGGACCCAAAATATATGTAATATGAGTAGCTGAGAAGAAAATTAAATGATGGCATAGAACAAAAACTGAAAATTACGAATTCAAGAATTTTTCTTGAAATAAAAGTGACTCAAATCTGCACATTTAAATAGTGGCAGTGTAGTCAGTGTAAGGCTGGAATCAGATATGACCCTCCCAGCACCCGACCTGTTTGCCAGCAGAGGCATTGGTCTCGGTGGGGACCCAGCTCAGCATGAAGGCTGTCCTTGGCAGATGTCACAAGAGAGATAAGATAGGACAAGGAATCTTGCAGGTCCCTGGACATCTGGAGAGACCCTCAAGGACTCTGTCCACTGAGGTGCAAGACAGCCAGAGAACTTTGACCACTAACGTTTATCAACATCTTCCCACCTAACGTCCATCCCCTTTTTTCAATCCCTATAAAAAGGGATTCCTGCTTCTCTTTTTTCCCTACAGGCGGCCTTATTGCCCTCTGTCTGCCTGCACCCAGGTATTAAATCACGTGCCTTGTCGCTTCCACAAAAGCCTGTCAAGTGGTCTCTGCCTGGCCTCGATTGCCTTACACTGAGGAAGTCAACCATGAGTGTCTAATAATATCACAGGCATATTCCAGCAAAAATTATCAGGTTTCAGGTATTTTTTAAATCCCTAAACATCCAGGCAAAAAGATCAAGTTACAGATAGGGAAATAAATTAAATTGTCACCAAACTTTTCTTCAGCAAAACTTCATGTCATCAGACAATGGATAAAGATATTTAAGATACTCAAGAAAATTGAAACTGGGAGTTTATAACTAGAAATTTTGATTTTTCAACTGTTAAGACCACAAACTTATGAATGAGAAATCAAAAAATATCTTTTCCACCAGGTGTAGTGGCCATGCCTATAATTCCAGCCCTCAGGAGGTTGAGGCAGGAGGATCGTTGTGAGTTCAAGACCAGCCTGGGCTACAAAGTGAGCTCAAGGCCAGCTTGAACTGCATAGCGAGACTCTGTCTCAAAAACAAACAAACAAACAAAGAAAACTCAGAAAATATCTTTTCCATGAGTATTTCCAAAGGAACACACCAGAAAGCAAGCTTCAAATGACCATGGCCTGGGGACACAAAAGGAGGGACAGAAGCCACTAAGCAAATGTGACAGGTCTCCAGGACTGTGTGGCTGTCCTGAGGAAACTCGGTGAGGAGACAGCAAGGTCCACTTCTGAACAATTTGAGCAGGGAGATCTACAGGGTAAACCCCAACCTGAGACTGATCTTGGGCTTTCTTCTCTCTGGGACCGGCCTGGATTCGTGGCTTTTTCCCAAAACAAGTTATGTGAGACTTCAGATTAGCCAATCTATCCTCCAAATGAAATGATTTCCATCATAATCCAACGCAGGATGCTCTGTGGATACTGCGATTCCCGCTGTGGCGCTGAGGGCGTGGAGCTGGCTGGAAGGCAGTAGAAGCTGAGCAGCTGGCTTCAGAGATGCAACCTGTCCGGCTGCTGCCCAGCCTCTGGCCTGACTGTCCACAGCCTCAGGCTGGAGATGTAATGTAACCTGCCCCAAGCCCCACACTGCTCCGTCTTTAATCTAGAACATCCACCAAAAGCTCTGGCTTCTAACTGAAAGGTTTGAATTTCAACTACAGAAGTTAGAGACTATGGCCTCAGTGAGAAAATGGGCTTGAGTAAGATAGGTGATCTCTACGGCCAGTGTATGGAATGCAGACTGGAACAGGGCAGTGCAGGAGCCCCGGAGTCCCGCTGGGCGGCAGCAACAGGGATCTAGCTAGTGCTGCGGGAACAGGGATCTATGAGGTCTGATGGAAACGTATGGTGACTATTTAATTTTTTAACAAGTTAACGAAAGTAAAAGACACATTGCCATCAGCCCCCTCAGAACACTTCCCTATCACTTCGAATCCATTTATCCCATCATTCTTGCCGCTTTCTGAAGCAGCTCTGGAAGTGCTCTTTTATCACTGTCTTTCACCGTATCGTCACAGCTACTTCAATGCCCTGAACTGATTCAAAATGTTGCCCGTTCGTGGTTATCTGGATGTCAGGGTAGAGTCAGGAGTCACACAGTGCTGCATCCGAAGAATAAGGTGGATGAGGATACAGCGTTGTGTTTTCATGAGCCTGCGTTTGTTTGGCCGGCCCGCAGCAGTAGCAGTCACCATATTTTTGATCAAGTCTCTTAAAGACATGAAAGAGGACCTCCAGAACTGCTTCAGGAAGTGGCAAGAATACTTTGATAAAGGCCGGGGATTTAGGTGCAGCGGCGCAGCGCCTGCCTGGCAAGTGCGAGGTCGTGAGTTCGATTCCAGGTACAAAAAAAAAAAAAAAAATACTGCGATAAGTATGTTTGAAGTGAGAGAGTGTTTTGCAGGGGATTAATGAAAATTTGTCTTTTACTGTAATAATTTTTAAAAATTTAAATTTCACCATATATTTTGATCACAGCTCATGCAGAAGCATATTCAGAACTATACAAGAGGCTAGGTAGCAAATCAAAGATACCTTTCACTGTGAGATGTGTCAATACTTGTGTATCATCAATAAAGAAAGCCTGTTGCCAATTACTGATAAAATGCAGGGTGAGAAGTGAGATAGATTTCCATGGTAAGTTGGAATAGTATTATAGAACTAACTCTCTTACAATACCTTATGAAATAAGCAAAGGGGGAAAAAAAACAGTAAAAATTACATGTATATAAAAAAACAAATAACACTTAATATGAGCAGCCAGAAAATTTTGCTTCCAATTACGGTGGATTAGCTCATATTAAACCAACACTCCCAGCAGATAACAATTATAAACTCCAGGCAAAACATAAACAAAGCTATCTGAAGGCGCTGGGGAGCAGCTGAAAGCAGACACCCACTGAAGCTGACACTGGAAAACCTGCGTCCCAGGCAGCTTGGCCCGGCGCCCCAGGGCAGGCCCCAGCTGGGACTGCGCTCAGGGGCTAGTACACTATTTGGATGTAAACCCAGGGTCTCGTGGGCTTCGGGAATCCGGAAACAGCTCAGGACTGCCACGGCAACTGCAGAGAGAAGGAAGGCCCCCAGTGAAGAGGCAGAGAGTGTGGATAAACCGAGGCTGAATCTCTGGCCAACTTCTGGTCCTGGATGCGCGGAATAGAGGCCAAGTTGCTGGGTTTAGGATGAGAGAACAGCACACAGGTTCCAGGTGCTACCCCTCAGGGAGGACAATCCGTCTCAGCATAGCCAAGAAGGCTGACTGCTAACACAAACCAAAACGAAAGTTAAAATTTTCAGAGGAAAATGAAAGAATCCATAGCCTCTAACACTGCAAGCTTTACCATATTCGGGAGAAATTCCACATTTACCAGAACAGGAAACTGTGCTCTACATTCAAGAAAAAAAAAAAACAACAAAAACCAAACTCTGAGACCATCAAAATGTTGGAATTAGCAGATAAAAAAAAAAACTAAAGCATTGTAATATTCTTCACATTTTCAAATAGCAGTGTTTGAGAGTAGATGCTCTTAATGAATGAACAGACCAGAACCGCAGTGATGGAGGACAGCAGCACAGGGAAGGAAGAACTGAGACAATTCTGCGTGAAGTTCTCACACTCCGTGGAATTAGCGTCATAGAAGCTAAAGGAGATGCTCAGCCATTAAAGATGTATACCATGAACCGTAGAACAAAGCATGCAATAAAAGAGCAATAGAAAAACCAAAACAGACTAGAAAAACGCTCAACTTACCCAAATTTCTTGAAATTAGTGCAAATTCTACAGGATAAAAAAACAGAGGGGAGGCTAGATAAAGAAGAGGAAAAGGCAAAGATTCCACCTTGGAAGAAAATGTACATCAAAATTTTTTAAAAGTATAGAATGTCTTACTAAGAACATGAATTCAGTGGAACCGCAGCTCAGTGACAGGCGATAAAGCACTAAGATGAGACGGAAAACAATATAACAGACCTAAGTGAACACAACGGGGCGCACAGGTAAATCAGAAATGACAAGGAATAGAGCGGATCTAGGTGAAAGTCAAATCGCAGGTGTAAATACAGATCGAAGATGATCGTCGCGCACGCGGAGGAAAAGGACAAGAACAAAGCACTCAGAGAGAACTTAGCAGCCATGGAGGACAAAGGCAGCCCAGCAGAAGGATGATTCGAACCCCTGAAGCTAAAAATCTGGAAAATAGGAGTATCTTCAAACATACATGATGTTATTTTAAAAGTCTTAATGCCAGGAGAAGAACTGAGGAAATCATGCGACGACGCTGTGTTCTGGGAAGCTGATGCAGGAGGCACACCCTCGCTAGGCTAGGATGAGAAGTTCTTTCAGCAGCCAGCAATGTGAAGCTGATCTCCGAAAAAGGGAGAAAATTAAGCAGGCCTCAGACTTCGCACCCAGACTCAATCCAGTAGGTCTTGGATCAAAGTCTCTAACATTTTGAGAGGGAGGAGGATCACCCGTGGATATCGTATCCAGCCAAAATGTAATCATCTTCTTCAGTTTGGCTGCAATTTCTATCCCTCTGATACACTCCAGTAAGTTCTTACATAAAATAGCATCCACATGACCCCATTTTACAAATGGATTTCTTTTTCTCTGTCTTTCCTTTCCATATGCATGCATGGGAAGGTGCCAGGAATAATGCTGACAGTTACTTCTGGCTGGTGAGACCGATTTGATGGTGTCTTTCCATCTTTTCACTTGTCACAAGGCTGCAGGGAAAATGACAAGAGATGACACAAGAACAGGCCTAGCATAGAACCTGCCACAGGCAGCTCTGGAGTCCTTGGGTCTGCCATGAGCAAAACCGGGCTGAGACCAGACAATCTGTCATTTTTCAGCTTGCTAGCGAGGCAGAACGGGGATCACAGAAGGCGCTCAGTGAGTGTTTGCTGAACTTAATTAAGTTGAAACCAGACAGTGATGACCTGGGGTGAGATTCAGTCACAGGTGATAAACCCTTGGGGCAAGAAACCTCAGGGGGAAACCCGATTAGGCCAGAAAAATGACCTGAGGCTGGGAAGGGAGGGTGTTAGTCAGACATTCAAGGCAAAGAATTGGACCCGGATTCCCACCAGAACTACCCAACAGCCGGACACCTCTAGGCGTCCTGTTATTGAGGCTGGGAGATGGACCAGGTGCAGGGGATTTACCCTCTCAAGAGTAGATACTGGGCTTTACATATCTGACATAATTGTAACTTACTCAACTTCTTTCCTTTTTATATCAGGATTTTTCCATTAAAGGAATATATGTCCATTGTCAAAAATTGTTGAAAATACAGAAGCAATGGAAAGAAGAACAAATAACACTCAGACATATGTCACTTAATAAAGACAATCTGTAGTTCTTTGGGGTCATTTTGCAACCAAGGACTAAGTCCACACACAGGTGCCACAGCATCAGCTTGTTGCTCCTCGCTGTCCATCTTACCACGCAGATATGCTAGACTCACTGCTTTTTCTATGGTTAAGCACTCACACTATTCTGATAACTAATGATCCCACAGCTATCATTGCAGATGACCCATTTTCCACATTTGAAAGTATCCTTCTCTCAGGAACAGAATAGGAATGACCATGCCAAAGGACACTGAAATCTTTAGCAAAGACTTTAAAGGTCCTTACCTGGGTTCGCCATAAAATATCTCAGATGCAGGTCATTACTTTTGCTGAGGTTCTTCAAAAACAGACTGTAATCCACCACAGGGTCTTTATCAATGTTGTAGTGCTTTGAGAACCTGAAACACAAGTGTTCTTTCCAGATCAGACATTACAATGCAGCAGTCTACAATGAAGGGTACGTTATGCATTACTGAGGCATCCTTTGTGTTGGAGCTGGCATTAATTTCAATGTCTGTGTCTAGCTACAGCTGGAGTTAAAAGTAAACCCTGGGAAATGTTACTGGCATATTTTTAAATGCAGAAGCTTTGAAGGAAACCAGTTCCCCCACCTTCAGATGGATGGGCAGAGACCTGAATGAGGCAGGAAGACTTCCCAGCCCACGCCACCTACGGAGCTGCCTCCTCCTCCTCCTCCTCCTCCTGGGGAGAGGAGGGCACAAGGGGCCCAGGCAGCTGCCGCCCCAACCTTCTTGTCTTACGTGGAGGGACACCGAGCTGGGCGGAGCCAGGTGACATAACGTGTCTGTGACCAGGGTACCTGGAGCTGGGAGGGACTGGGAGACACAGGCGATCTTTCTGATTGCACTAGAGAGAAACTGAGGTCTGAGGATGACACCTGGCTCAGAGCAGCGGACAGCAAGTGGAGGGAGGCAGGTTGTCCTTGAAGCATTCTGCGGTGTGCACACCTAACAAGAAATCTTTAACACATGTGAGCCACTACCCACCCCTAAAATAAACTGGGGTAAACAGAACGCCTGGATTCTTTAAAATGGATTTTCTATTATTCAAACCTGCCACTTGGGAAATGTTTTTCCAGATAATTTCTGAGTTATTACATTTCTTAAAAACTGACAGTTTTTACGTGTTTGGTTATATTTTCTCCATATGTGTTGGTTTCTATAATTATCTAATTTCATGCTGCTTTTTAAAAATTTAGTAATTATTACTTAAGGTGTTTGTTATTTTTCTGTTTTCCGAATTTAACAGAGAGTAATGTCATGTGTTTATTTCAATGCGTACCTATTTTCCCACTTTGATGAAGCTTGCCTATTGTTCTACTAAGAAAACTTATCTTCAAGGGTGACAGCTGCCAGATGTGAATAGAGACACTCCCTAACCAGCCCCTTCTTTTCTCTTTGGCCTCAATCTTGCGAAAATACATGATGACCTCGGAACCCAGGGGTGGCAGTTTGTGGGGACCTTCCTGAGTGGGGGCTGGCGGGCTGTTCCAGGAAAGTGCAGGACATCGTGAGAGGTCTGCTGCTGGCCTTTGGGGCTTCAAGAACAACGCACTCTTCCTGAACACAGGGCTTTGCTCAGAGGACAATCCTGCCCCACGCCACAGCCCAGCATGGGCAAGCTCTCAGCTCCCGCTACAGACACCCCAGCAGACAGAGTCCCGGGGAATGTACGCTGCGGATAAACCTTGAGGACGGAACCCACAGCCCTGCCCAGGAAGGCAGCAGCTCCAGAGGCTTTTTACAGGAAGCAAAGATGGCAGACGGAAACATCCCTGACAGACGACTTCCAGGGCGTCTCTGTGCAGGGACGTGTGCTCAGGGCAGCGGCCTCAGACATCTGCAGAAACCAGCAGGCAGTGGGTCACACAGGGGCCAGACTGGGAGAAGGAAGGGGTTCAAATAGCCTACAAAACCGTCCAAGCACAACCACCTGGAGGAAAAGCCTTAGGCTTCGGGCAGCAGGCTGACCACCGCTGAGACCCGGAGGTTGCTTTATTTACAAGGCTGCTCACAGATTACTTTACATAGATTCAAACAGCTTGGCCTGGAGGGAGGGGGAGTTCCAGCATACTCCAGGTGAGTATGTGGTGATCGTTTGACCTCTGGCCTCTTGTTTTGCATAGGCTGGACAGCGTTCTGCAGCCTAAAAGGAACCATCTACTAAGGAGCTAGGGCACTCAGGAGCTCTACAGCCGTGATCTGACCTACACACAGGCACGTCACTGACATGCGCGCCACGCCACGCAGCGTTTTGACTCTGTCCTGAGATGTGAGCTCTCAGCGCCCAGTTCTCTGAGAGAAAGGTGAGTCTCAGGGGACCCAGAGCGCCTGAGATCCCAGGATGAGGAAGCGTAGAGCCCAGACCTGACCCCTCACGGGCCTGACTTGGGGGATGAGCCCAGCCATTTCTACGGCAGCAAGGATCGAACATGGATCTTAGATAAAAAGCTGCTAGATCAAAGAGGGGATTCAAAAATGCCTCGTTTCTACCCCCAAATTAAAAAGGCACAGTTAATACAGAAGCAGCTTCCCCGGAAAAAAGTGTACACTTGAGCTTCAGCAAGGAAGGCATTAGAGCAACTGAAGAAATGTTCTCGTTTTGATCCTTTGTGGGTCTTCGTCTCCAGGAGGCAATTCTATTATGTGAAGTTTCTCTAGCCTTATCTTGAAAACAGCATTGTTTTCGAGGCTTCAAAAAAAAAAGTCTGGAATAAAAATTTGTGGAGTTCTTTATTATTCAATACTTAAGAGACGGGGAAACAGACAGTAACATTTTTTATAGATTTACTAGGTTGGAGACTGCAGTGCCAAACACAAGGTTTATTGTCAAATAAAACACAGCTTTGTCTTTGATTGCCTGTTTTAGAAGAGCGCTGCTTCTGTTCTATAATTGCGTGTACAAAATTATTTAATTTGTTTTGTTTGGATCTTATTCTGGACACTTTCCCAGCCGGAAAGGATGTAAAAATTAAAACATCTATTATGTCTTTTATATTCGGAGGTGGGTTATAAAGAGGAGCAAAGAAAAAAATATTCAAAGAAGTGGGAAATATCCTTTTTTCTCTCTCTCTCTCTTTTAGGTTTCCTTGCTGTTAGCTCCTGCAGCACGTGTGCTACCCTCCCAAACCCGCCACGCGTCCCTGCCCTGGGGCCAATCCCTCTGCCACTAGCAGCAGCCTCCTTATCTGTAGGAAACCTGTGGGGGCAACCATGACCCAGTTAACAGAATCTTCTGCCTCCAGGGCAGCAGGACGCTTCACTCCTGGTGAAAGCAAGCTCGGTACTTCGGGAACAACCTGCAGGATACCGCCGTCCCCTTACCTGCAGGGGATGCGCTCCAAGACCCAGGGGACTGAGGAAGTACAGGTGGGTAACAGCGAAGCCTGTGTAATACTATGCTGCTCCTCATACATACAAATTTATGATACTGTTTAATGTATAGTCACAGAAACAGATGAATAAGTCATAATAAGACATAACAATCCAACTAACATACTATGAGAAAAGTTATTTGAAACTTATTTCTGGGATTTCCCATTTCATATTTTTAGACGCTGGTGGACGGCGGAAAACTGAAACTGCAGGAAGTGGAGGCTAAGGCATTTCAGGAATCCTTTGGGAAAAGGCAGGAAGAGTGGCGTTGTGTCTGCTGGGTGCTTCATGAACGGGCTGAACAGGAGCGCACTTAGCACCGCCTTTCACTCAAACCCACGCTGCACAGAAGCCACGGGTCTGGCTTCTTCTAAACGATCCGGAGTTCACGGGAGGCCCAGCCAGAGCCCTGCAGGCTGCGCTGCCCCGACTCAGCAGGAGCAGGTGGCGCTGGCTTTCAAACACGAAGGGGCAGTTAAATGCTCAGGGCTCTCCACCCCCTCCCCACCCCCAGTGACGACGGTGCTGGAGGGAAGACGGCATGTCCGTCGTCACATCACATTGGGAGGGCCACCTCAACAGACGAGACGCCTGAAACTGTTCCTCTTAACCCCGAGCTTGGACTAAACTCCATGGTGGGCTAGAAAGGCCTCTGCGGCGGGCATGGTGCCAAGGAGGAAGGAGAGGAACAGGCGCTGGAGTCGTCAGGCACAGGACACGCTCCAGCCTGCGGGTGCGGGCCAGCGGATGCACCGGCTTTGGGGGCCTGGAGAATGGAACTGTTGGGACAGAGTTCCTGGGGAGCTCCAGGAACCAGGAGAGATGCCCTGAAAGAAGGTGGGGTGAGGTGACGGCGCGCAGGCTCCGTGCACCCCTCGCCTGTACTCACTTCCGGTATTCCTCCTCTGTCATCCTCAGGCAGAAGGTCTCCAGCACCCTCCTCAGCTCCTGCGGCTGCACCAGGCCCCTGTGGTTAACGTCGATGAGCTGAAAGGCTTTGGTGACCGTTTTCAGGTTTTTGAAAATCTGTGGACAAAAAGTGGTTTTGGAAAAGTCCAGAGATCCCACGTTAAAACCCAAAATGGTTGCAAAAAATGTGAAAGTTTTTTTTAAAATACTTCTTGTAGAATACAATGTTTTCAAAGATTCGTGGTGGTAGGCATGGCAAAATGACACGTCTAGGGGGAAAAAGAACACTTTGCATTTATTGAGTGTTTTCAAGGCAATTTTCTCAGTAAATGGTCTTGGTAAGTTTTTTTTTTTTTAAACCCTTTCTGATGTAAAGCAGTAAGTTTCATACACAATTTGTTCCCTTTTAGGGCCGCATGAAAAATCTTTTTGTTAATTGACACTTAAAACTACAGTTCTGGCAAAGCTGGCCTTGTACGAGTTTTATTTTTCTCAGCCATATGCAAACTATTTTTACTAGGAGCTGGAAAATATGGCTGTATATTTCAACCCCTTCTGAAATTTGTTAAAAGATATTACAGGAAAGTTTTATAGAGCTCTTCCCCCAGTTCAGTGAAGGATATTTACCGGGCACACGGGTGTGCACAGAGAGTGGAGCTGGGCGGCTGCATGGAGCAGGGGGAGGTGGAGGGCTCCCTTGGTAGAGCTCCGTAAAGCCACCAAAAGACCAGACCAGGAATCTGAGGCTCAGGACCTGCATGTGTTACCTAGCAACCCCCCGCCAGCAGGGCCGGATGCCGGCTGCAAACTTGGGTTCATCCTGTCACCACAGGACTCCACACGAGCGAAGTGACGTGTTGATACCTACTCACTGAGACAGGCCAGAGCCCAGCAGCATGGCTTGCAGGCCTTCCAAGAGGATACACCTGGCTGGAGCTGGCCCAGAGCGGAAGGGGTGGCAGGGCCCCGCACAGGAGCTGTGCTGACCTCCCACGGCCAAGGTGCGACAGGAGGGCAGCGGTAAAGCCGGGCATGGTGGGTGAGAGCCAGGAGCAGGCGGCACAGCTGGGTGTAGGAAGGGTCTGGTTCCACATCCCTGCACCCAGCGCATGGCCAGCCTGGACCCCGAGAGACAGCAGTGCTCCTCGCAGGGTGTCAGGAGGACCGTCCTCCACTCCTGCCCACATGCCCGGCTCCTCAGCGCTTACTCTCAATGTCCCCACCCTGTCCTGTACTTGAGAAAACCTACTGCCCAGAGAGGACCCCCCTGCAGCCCTCCAGGGCTGGCTGGCCTTGCTCTCCAGCCCCGGACACCATGAGCTGCTGGCAAAAGTGGCCTCCCTCCCCTGCGGCCGCTTCCAGGCTACTGCTCAGCCTTGGCCGTAAGTCTCAGCTCACCTGCTACCCCGTTCCAGGCGTCTGTCCTCCCCCTGCGTCTGCATCTCCAAACGCTCCTGCCTGGGCCACTGAGCCCCCACAGCTTGCTCTGGACCCCTGTGACAGCCAGTCCCTCTCCTGAGACACACAGCCCCCAAGAGGTCACCGCTCCCCGCAGCGGAGCCTGCACTGGGCCACGCCCTCCCCTCCCTGCCTTGCTCCTCCTGCCCCAGGCACCTCCCCGCTCATCAGTCCCCCTCTCCCCTCCCCCGCTCCCTGGGGAAGACCCCACCTCTGAGGGAATCCCCCAGCTGTCTGGCCCAGCCCCCACCCACAGGACCTGATGTGGTGGACAGAAGGGGACCACCGAGTGCTTCCAGGACCCCTCAAGCCCCAGGCCACTCATCTGAACCACACACACACACACACACACACACACACACACACACCATCCAGTGTCACTCCCCTTTCCTTTGCGGTGCTGGGGACAGAACCCAGGGCCTCATGCACACCAGGCAAGCCCTCTCCCCGGAGGAACCGCACCAGCCCCTGCCCCCGCCTTCTCACTCCTCCCGGACCTCCTAGACCAGGGGCCTCTCCCTCAGGGCCAGCCCTGGACAGAACGACAGCACTGGGTACCGGTGCGATGACAAGGACAGTGATGTGATCACTGACCGCATGCCTGTTGTACGTGAGGCCTTGCCCTACACTCTCCACACCACCCGTCCTAACAACCAGAGCACATGGCCAGCAGGGCCTCGATATCCCAGCCCCGGAGGCTGAGCACATCAGCGCATGACAGGGCTCTTGTGCGCCACCCTCTGCTCTGTCCACCGCCCCGTCTAGAAGCTGAGCCCAAGAGCTGTCGCACCCACGGCCCAAGGAACCTCAGCACTGCCCGCTGCCACATCCCCATACGCCTCCTCTGGGGACATGGAGGAGGACGTGAGACGGCACACTTTTTAAAAACCCCCAAGCGCCCCATATGGACGCCCAGCGTGGAGAGCGGGAGCCGCGAAGCTGGCAGCGAGCTCCCGCCCACCAGAGCTACGTCTCCAAGTTCCTTATCACTTGTCAGACTGGAGGTTGGCACGAGCCGCAGCACAGAGCAGCAGATGGCGAGGCTCAGGCGAGGTGGCACAGCCGGGGGCCCAGGGGTCCGGAGCTGGTCCCACACGCGGCGGGAGAGAAGGAAATGGTAAGAAACGAAGGGCCCAGGGCCCCGTGACGGTGATCGTGCCCCCGCAGGGGCCTCCTTCCTCTCCCTGTCACCTCATGCCTTTGCCCCTGCTCCCCGCTGCTGGACACTCCCCTCCCTGCGTTCACTTAGGTCTCAGTCAGGAGCTACCTGCTCCGGTGCTCCACCTCCCCCTTAGCATCTGTCAGCCCTAGGACCGTTTCCGATCTGTCTACCGTCGGTCTTCGTCTAGTGGAATGTGGCCCAGGCTCTTGATCATGTCCACTGCCGTACCCGTGGGGCCCAGAACTGCCTGGGCAGAGCAGGTGCCCTCGCAGATTTCCAGAGGGCAAGAATCGCTGTTATCTGCTGCCTGGGACACCTGGCCCCAACCCTGCCACTGCCCACTCTGGGGCAGGACTTGGTGGCTTCTCATCTGGCTTCCTAATTACCCTCCCTCTGGATCATCAATTCCCCGACTTTGACTTCGACATGGTGGTTTAGGCTGGCCCGACCTTGTAACCAGCTCCTTCCGACCTGCTCTGCAATGCAGTCTTTTGCTCCCAACCTCCAGTCCCCTGCATTGGGGAGCAGTGGCAGCTAGCAGGGACAAGTGCCCCCAGGGAGGGGACATGGGGGCACAGCTAAGAGACGGAGAAGGGCCGCTGCTGCTCCACAAGTCTAGCAAATGAAAATGTGGTCGTGTCCTCCAAGTCCCCAGAGAGGTCAGCCCAGGAAGGCTGATGTTGCCTGGCTTCCCCACTAAGGGGACCTGGCTGTCTTTTCCCAGGTAGGAGGGTAGACCCTGCCTACTGATTTCCTACACGTGCAAGCAAAGGATGGCTTTAATACTTTCAGATGCTTGAAAAACATCAAGACTATTTCATGCCATGTGAAAAGTTATGTGAATTTCAAATTTCAGTATCCATAAATAGAATTTTCCTGGCACGCAGCCACGCCCACTCATTTGCATATTGCCTGGGCTGCTTCCCCCTGCAAGGGAGGAGGAGCAAAAAAAGGGCTGAAGATTTTCAAAGCAACCCGAAACAATACCTAGCTGTGACTTCAAGGTGCAGAAACCAGGAGATAGGTTTGAGGTCTAAAGAAGCTGCCCCAGGGTCCCTTCCCCTGGGGACAGATTTCACCCAGCCCTCCCCAGTCACACAGCTCACCAAGCCCTGCAGGGGACCTGGTGTATGTGATGGCTGACTGGGCCACAACTCAGCCCATCCGGCACCCCCAACAGTCTCTGAGCCCTTGGAGTCTTGGTTTGGGTAGGCAGGGGCCACAGGGAGGACCAGCAAATGACCAGGTTCTTCCCTCAGGAGAGCTGGGCTGGAGAGAAGCACAAAAGAGAGCTTCAGAGCTCTGAAGTGTGGTTTCCTAACCCCTTACCTAGCATCTTCAGCAAAGAAGAGAAGCCCTACTCATAAAAGAGTGAAGAAAAATGAGGAGGTGACTATGAAGAATAAAAACATTCAATTTTTAAAGAGTAATAGAAGCAAATTTTAAATTAAAATATTCTGGAGCCAGGCACCGTGGTAAATGACTGTAATTCCAGCTACTCCAGAGGCTGAGTCAGGAAGATTGTAAATTCAAGGTCAGCCTAGACAACTTAGTGAGATCCTGTCTCAAAATAAAATTTAAAAATGGGCTAGGGATGTGTAATCATCGATATATTGTGTCAACTTGAGAAGTCTAGAAGCTTAACTAAGCAACTCAGCAGTTTTACATCCTAGGGTGTAGAGGACACGACCTAGGGAGGCTGTTTACACTCTAGGATGTTGTAATGGTTGATTCATTGTGCCAATTTGAGAAGTTTAGAAGTTTAACTAAGTGACTCAGCAGGAGACCAGAATCCTCACTTTGTAAACATCTTGAACCTGTGCAAGAGAAGGGCACAGGATGGTGTGAGTACTCTACCCATCCTTAGGCAGGTAGCCTGCTTACAATATAAGGGAGGAAAAGAGACTTGCTCTCCTTCTTTTTTGCTCTTGTTGTTTTTGCTGTCTTCTGCTGCCATGAGCTGTTGCCCCTCTGCCATGCCACCCTGTCTCAGAGCCAGGTGATTACAGACTGAAACCTCTACAAACTGTGAGCTAAATAAACCTTTCCTCCCTTAATTTTGGGAATTGGGTATTTTGCCTCAGAGAGAGAAAAGTAACCAAGACAGGATGTATGTAGCTCAGTGACTGAGCACTTGCCTGACATTCATGAAGCCCTGGGTTCAACCCCAGTGCTGAAAAAAGTCTGGAAAAGATTTTGATGAATTTATAAAGATGGAGGCTGGGAGTAGGGAAGGCACACACCACCTCCAGGCATGTTGGCTCATCCTGAAAAGCACACAAAACTGCTCTGGGTGGCAGCTACCCCACAGGTCAGTCCCAGCATGTCTAATCACTGTTCCTCCTCCTTCCTCTCCACAAGGGACCCAAAGGGCTAAACGGAGTGATGCCTGACCAAAGGTTCTGAAATGGGATTTCAAATCCTACCTCCACCCTACTCTTCAGGTAACCTTGAAAAAGCAACATGATTCCTCAAAACTTCGATTTCTGAATCTGTG